CTCAGAAACTGCAAGCTAAAATTGTTCTTGTCAGTTCTTTTGGTCATGGTAGTGAAAAAGGTGATTAAAATAGTACCCCTGTCAAAAATTAACTAAATGTATGTGATTGGTTTTATTTAAACACCACACTTTACTCTTTGTAGAAAGTAGATGTTCACAAAGGTTTTCAGTGGGTCAAAGAACAACTGGTAGCCAACGTATCAAACCTCTACAATACCTAAGGTTTTTTCATATCATTATKACCTATGTCCTACAAGGATCACAGAAGGAGTCTGTTTTTGTTCAATTTTGTGTCACTGTGACAAAAAACTTTACAAGACATATTTAGAACATGAAACATTTATTTTGGCTTATGGCTTCAGAGTTTCAGTCCATGTTCAGCCAGTCACATAGCTCAGGCCCAAGGTGAGACAAAACATCATGGTAGAAGGGTATGGTGGAGGAAAGCTGCTCAAGGTATGGCAAACAGGAAGCAGAGAGTGAGCTCCGCTCACCAGGGACAAGATATAAACCCTAAAGTCATGACCCTGGTGATCTAAAGCCTCCAGCCACATCTTACTTACCTATAGTTACTGCCCAGTTAGTCCATATCAGTAGATGGATCCAGGATATAATATTTCATCTCTGAAAATTCTTGCTCTATCTCACACATGAGTTACAGGTGACACCTTACATCTGAACCATAACAAAGTCTTTCCAACCCTGTGTTCTAGCACATTTAAGAAATATGTCCATGCCTCTCCACTATTTTGACTGAATATTATCTTGCATTTCGAATTGAGTAAATATCTTTGCAAAAATTTATCCATCACAGACACCCTTTTTTTTCTTCTTTATTAAATTTTCAGAATGCTAGAATAACTTTAGAATAATTTAAGTAGAATGAAGAATGAATCATCTGCCCTTGAAAAGGAAAAACTAAAAGAAGTCTATCAAAGATTTAACCATATACAGAGCTAGGTATGATCTATAGCTTATGGACATAAAACTATCTATTTACTGGAACACTATTATTGAAAGAATATTCTTGAGAATTATGTAGTTCTCTGTTATGGGTTATACTGGAATAGCAATCGTTATGACCATGTGTCAGTAGCATGTCATCAAGAACTTTAGCTAAAAAATATTTATAATACATTCTCCTATAAAATTTATCTTATTATAAGAAAAATATAAGATTTACCCCCTTAAAAATTTTAAGTGTATCATACATTGTTGTTGGATGTAACTACAATATTCTATAGATTTCTAGATTTTACTATTCTTGAAGGTCTGAAACTTTATGCCTATTGATTACTAAATTTATTCCCTCTTTCCAATAGTTCTAATTACTTCCATTCTATTTTTTGATTCTATGAATTTTGATACTTTAAAATATTTCATCTAAGTGGTAGCATACAGCACTCGTCTTTCTGTGCCTGGCTATACTACTTATTCTTGCTTTGAGGTCCTATCTTGCATTCATTTCATTTTTTTTTTACTCCAAGAGCAAACTGAATGTTAAAGCTGTGCCTTTATTCCTTGGTACTGGTTTAAGGCTTATCTGGTTTGCTCTCCCTGGCATCCTTTGGTTGGCATTYGCATCCTGTAGTTGTTTCAATTCTGACTATCTTCATTAAACAACACTCATTTGAGCAGTATGCATTTACATTTAGAAAGCAAATATGTACACATAAATATCAGTTGAATGAGTCAGTGATTTCACTCATAATTGGCTTCACCAACCCTATTAGGGCACTCAGGTGTAAAAATCACAGACCTGGCTGGATGAAATACAGCTCCTGTTCTCTTGTGATGCAAATCCAGCTTCCAATAGAGATCAAGAGGATAAAAACCTTTCCTCCCCTTTCAACAACTAAGTAGAAGTCATAACTATTTCACCAGCACTAGTTTTTAAATAGGCTGAAAGTGAAGCAGCTTGATAAGAAGCCAGATCATAGGACGCCTTACTGGTTTTATCATGGGTGTCATGCTTCCAGTATAAATGCGAGGCTGCTGCTCTAAGCCATCTTGGAAGTGGAGAAGCCATGCATAGGCCAGGTAAGTCCTTCAATAGCTTTAGTTCTAGGGGAGGTCTCAGGCTATTCTCCTCCACAAATATAACAATGAAGTGTCTGTTGTATCAGGACATTTTAAATTATCCCTTCCCAGTCTCTAAATTTCAAAATGGAGATAATACAATTGCCTATTGGTCATATTTGCAAAAAGGGTAAGTTATTTTTTTTTATTTGTAAAATCATTAATTATTCAGGAAAAATTCATGCAATTTTGGTCTAATTACATTTACACTCCACCCAACTGTTATGGTGTTTGGTGTGACCTACACATGAATGCATTCTGAGTTTGTTTAGGAAGAGGTGTCCCATAAGCAAGAAGAAGTCCTCTTAGAAATTGGCCAAGGTTAGCTTTAGTTATCACTTAAAACKTTGACCCACACTTTGGCTTGTCAGAACTCAGAAAATGATACCCCAAACTACTTTAAAWTCAAGAATACTAAGAGAGCATCAGAAGCAAGAAGGTGACTCAGGTTTTTTCTGAATGTTGGTCATAAAACCCTCCCTCCAGAGACCCTACCTGATAACCAGGGGAAGAAATGCTACACAGAGTGGCCAAAAGATCCTGAATAGGGGCTGGGGTTGTAGCTCAGTGGTAGAGCACTTGCCCAGCATGTGTGAGGCATTGGGTTTGATTCTCAGCACCACATATAAATGAATAAAATAAAGGTCCATTGATAAGTAAATAAATATATTTTTTAAAAAAACTAAAGAGATGGGTCTTACTTTGTCCCCCCAATTATGTAACCCATTACCATGTGATTTTACCCTTTTGCCCAATCACATTACAAGCTGTCAATTCTACATCAAAATTAAGCATAAAAATAGAAAGTTTTCCCTAGGCCTTTGGGTTTTGCTTTCTGAAGGCTACCGTATCACATAAAACTAATTTAAAAAAAAAAAAAAAAAAACTTTTGTTTATCTCATTAGCTTTATTTTGTTATAGTAGTGTAGGCTGTGGTCCTTATGTTGAGTGAGGAAAAGTACTTATCACACCATCATGCTCCTTACACTTTCAGTTACACTCTTCAATGTCAACCTGAATGCCTTCCATTATTCCAATTCTGATGATGTCATATTTGATCCAAAAAAAGAAAAATTTTTTTGAACATAAAAACAACGTAATGCTGATTGACCTTTTAAAACTCATATCCTTAAGCAAATCATTAAATCTGCTTCTTTGCATTCTCTGGTATCAAAGCCACATATATGCACAGAGCTCAAAAAGGTTTTCTGTGCATGTAGGAGATATATTTTGAACAAAGTAAATGCACATTAATACAAAGTATCACATAATTCTATAACCTATAAAATATGTCTTTAATAAAGGAGCTTTAATTATAAACACTATTCTTAACTGCTAAATTTTGAAATCAGCCCACCTATCAAAGTACACATGGATAAAGAAAATGTGGGATATGTCCAGAATGGAATACTATTCATCCATAAAAAAGAATGATATTCTATTTGCAGAAAAAAAGGACTGAACTGGAAGTCATTATGTTAAATGAACTAACTTATATACAGAAAGACAAATACCATTTGGTTATCCTCATATGAGGATGTTAAAAATAGTTGATCAAAACATATAATAAGAATTACTAGGGGCTGAGAATGGTGGGAGTGAGAAGCATAGAGGAAGGTTAGATAATCAGCACCAGAATTCAAATTAGTAAATTCTGATGTTCTACAGCACTGTGGGGTGACTATCATTCAAAATAAACTGATAAATTCTATGAATTACAAAAAGAAAATAGCTTGAAGTCTCCAAACACAAATTAATGATTAGGAGATAGAAACATTAATTACCCTGATTTGATCAGCACATATTGTATATGTGGATTGAAATGCTACAATTGTATCATGCAGATACAATTCTAAGTTGTTAAGCAAAAATTCCCTAAAAAGATAGGAAAATGTTAACTATGCGGATAGGATCACTATACACTGTATACATCTATCAAATTTTACCACTGCCCCCTAGAAATTTGTACAAAAGATTTTTTAAAGTAAAATTTTTTAAAAAGTTTCTCTAATCCAGGTCTCAAAACAGAATTCTGCACTATCTTTCCTCACCAGTGTCCTTAGCTCCTGTAAGCACACAACCCTTGAACTCACTGAGTAGATTGTTTAAGGAAACATAACTGTATAACACAACCTGCCTGATTTTCACATGCAAATATTTCTGCTTATAGTAATTAAGAGAAATGTAGTGGGACAGCTTTCAAGCCACATTCTTATTGAGCCCCAGGGGCAGAAATGGTCAGAGAGAAACATCAATTAGTGTTAGAATTACAAAGTTACTGGAGACACAGTGTACTCCCAGAATCTAAATAAAGATTGAATGTTCAAAATACCTATCTGACTATTTTTTTTTGACAGTCTTTCTTTCCCTTAATTGAAATTCTTTACCAAAAAAAAATTAAATCAAAGAATTAGTCAAATTGCATCTGCTATTTGAAAATATTATATTTTGAATACAGCACAGAATTTTAGGGTCAAGTTTTAAGATTTTGGCTAGCTTTGAGCCATTTTTTTAAATATCTGGGAGATTTTGAAATATGAATTTCATTACATGTTCATTTAAACTACAGAATACAATTAATGGAAAAGTGAATTTTTATAGGAGTATCTTTAAAACACGCAAAATAATTATAATTCTTCGTAATTTTAATAATCAAAAATTTTCATGTGACAATTTTAACTATAAGATTAGAATCTATATTATTAGTCTTCTATAGTATTAAAAGAGAGATTAAAGTATTAGACAGTGATATATTGTTACCTTCTTTTACAAAATGCATATTTTAGAGTGTTAAGGACATACCATATATTATACAACCTGTAATAAGTATTATTGACTCTAATATATTTAATATTTTGATTTCAAGAAGGCCTATTGAATTCTATGCTTAAAATTTCAATCATCACAAGAAAAAAACTTACCTTTATTTTGTATGCTGCCCCCTGGGAGYGGCTTATGTGAAACTTCACATTCCTGGGATACACTGATGTCATCTATAGCAACAGAAGCATTTGATGACAAAACAGTGGCTTCTAAAATTAACTATAAGCACAGAAAACTAAAATTAGTAAAAATACATCATGAAGGTAAAGACTTACAATCACATTTCTTTGTAGAAAGGAATTCATTTGCCCCATCCCATTTTCTAATCTAATTTTAGAAAATCATTTTGACCAGAATATTTAAATTATAATTTTATTAAGTTATAACTCCTTCACCAGCATCTGATATAACCTTAATACCTTAGGTAACCTTGTTTCAATTAAAAGTTGTAACATTCATCAGGAGTGAGTGAAGGACTCTCTTCCATTGGAGCCATTAAGAGTCATATGCATTTAAAATGAGCTCTTTGGGGTAATCAACTATGAGGTTTACAACTCAATTTAATTGAGATAGGAATTCATTTGTAATGGGTCTRCTGGAGTCAGTGATTCATTTCCATAACAGAATATTTAAATATGAGTATATATTATGTATACATATACAGAAACATACTTAGTGTGGTAAAGCACACAATCAGTAACCACATACAGTGGTTAATCATATTCATTTGCTAAAGCCCTCAGAAGCAACTATTTAAGTTTAATTTATTCTAACACTCTGAATAATTACTGATATAATTTGTTTTCTTCTTGTTAATCACTCACATTATTATGTTGTTATTCTCCCACAAAAAAAAAAAATAGGAAAGAAAAAATGAGGGAGGGAGAAAACAAATCACAAATGATTTCTGGAGCCCAAGGACCTGAGTGGCAGACCATCAGTCCAGACACAGCCGGTAGGTCCATCTCCATCTTATCAATTTGCTTGTGTTGAGGCTCAGGAGATACCACCCCAAAATGCAGCACCATGGAGGTCACTCTGCCCTTCCCTTGCCTTACTGTGGAAGAGTAGATCAAAAAGGAACTTTTATGATSCACTTCTCTTGTTATAAGACCCCCACGTGAAAATAGTACTATCCCACACCTAGAGAAATGGAGTCTCCACAGAGAGGCCAAGAGAATCCAACAAATAGGCCTTGCTATATTCCCTCTAATTTATTATCATTAGATCATACTTTTTTAATATTTATTTTTTAGTTGTWGTTGGACACAATACCCTTATTTTATTTATTTAATTATTTTTATGTGTTGCTGAGGATCCAACCCAAGGACTTGCATGTGCTAGGTGACTGCTCTACCACTGAGCCCCAGCCCCCATATTTTTTTTTAATACCACCCAACTTCTTTGTAATTTTTCGTTCTTCWTTGAACCTAAACATAAAAATCTAGTAAATTTTACCGGGGTCTTTATTTCTAGAGGCCTATGTCAAGTAAAGCTTAATATTTTCTTTTTCTGTTGTTAAATCTGTCTCTTGTTATAGGGATACCAACTAGGATCCTTGTGAGGGATAAGKGAAGGTATTATTTCTCTCTCCTACACTTGCCATAATCAGTTAAGAACTGAACTGTAAGTGCTGTAGAGGAGTTCAGTAGAAGACACTAAGAGAAGCAAAGAAAAACACTCTAATGTTTCTGCCAAGAATGTGGGATTAAGAATCTGGGGCGGGGGGAAAATGGTGGAGAGGCAACACTAAACCTCAGTTACAATAGTTGCTGAAGATTTTTCCTCAAGGAACTGAGGTAACAGCCCAAGCAAAAGCAAGGAGATGTGAAAGTGCTGGATTTGTTTAGAAAACTAATTGGGTACTTTCAGGGGTATAGGATTTTAAGAGAATAACCACTTAATTGGATAACAGATTAAAGGGATCAATTGTATGAGTTGGCAAAGCCCAAGCATTGATTCAGAAAATAAATAGCTCAGACTGCAAACATTTCAGCCCATTTCTCAGCATTTTTCCCAGACACTCAGAGGTATAAACAGAAAAATCTCTGCAGAGATGTTTGCTTCAATGCTGGCTTTGATAGCAAATGACAAGAAACAAAAGCAAATCCATAAATAAATGGTGTGATAGACTGTACACACTTCCCACTAAAAAAAAAAAAAAAAACACTGATAGGTTATAATTTCACCATTAATTTAAATCATCAAAGTTTTAAGRGAAAAATGGCTTCTTACAAATGTATAGCTGTAAATAATTATCATCTTGTGATTCCAAATGATTTTCACTATTCCTACTTTTTCTTGCCTATTTTAACCAACCTGATCCTTTTGAGTTGTGACCAAAGGCAATTTCCTTTGGGAACTATGATGTCAGTGAACAATAAGTGAGAAAGAGGTTGTTTGGAAGAGATGTTTCAACCATAGATGCAGAAAAAGTAAACACTTCATTTTATAAGATTTTCAAGGTAATTTGAGAATTTCAATTTCAAACTAAATGAAGCTGTGTTTCCCTTTTAAAGTGATCTTTTAGGAACTTAATTTTTGTTTTACCCAATTATTTTACTCTCTAAAAAAGCAAAATAATTTCTTGCTTTCACAAACCACAACAACTCATAAATATTTCATGATTAAGTGRTTATATTTGTACATCTGCAAAACTGAAAGAAGCTTTCTCAGAAAAGATTCAACTAGTATATTTATATATCTTGTTTTATAAAAGAACAGGAAAATAAATATGAATCTAAGAAAGAGGGGAATATACTGAGAAGTAGACAGAAATTAGAAGCTTTACATTCCTAGGACATACTGATATCATCTATAACCCCTATAGCAATTGAAAAATGAAGATGTTATCACAATATGAACAATAGCTWATTTTGATTCAGCTGTCATTCTATACAAGGCACATGCACTTCTTTTAATCTTGTGAAAATGGTTCTATCTTCACAAAACTGTTGTTATTTATTTGTTGGTTGGTTGGCTGGTACTGGGCATTAAACTCAGGGGTGCATTACCACTGAATTACATTCGCAGTCTTTTTTTGAAATTTTTGAGACAGGGTCTTGCCAAGTTGCTTAGGGCCTTGCTAAATTGCTGAATCTGGCCTTGAACCTGAGATCCTCCTGCCTCAGCCTCCTGAGTCATTGGGATTACAGGTATGTGCTACTTGTCCTTAGAGAATGGAAGTAATTGATTGACAGTCAGATATCTTTTAAGGAAAATATGTAATCTGAGCCAATAATGATTATGCTGATGAGGGTGTAACTGCATTTCTACAATCAAATAAAGAGATAACTGGTCATCCAGAGATGGTGTGAAATAGAGCTAGCCAGCATAACAAGATTGAAGAAAAGTTTAGACAAAGAAGGCTATAGAAACTAGGTCAGCTTCTACTTTAGCATTATAAATCTTACCCTTCACTGAATCTTCAAATAGTGTCAGGAAATTGTTATTGATTTATATCATTGACTAAAATAAAGGGCAAATATGGTATTAATCATTGTGGAAAAATTCACAGAGACATCTTAAGATGATATCTAAAATATGAAATGTTTGAATAGGAACTAGCAGAATGTAGACCAACTTGAAATCAAGGGGTGGTACTCAGAAAAAGTGGCCTTTTAGATATTAAAACTGAGAAAGCAGGTCTGATGGCATGTGCTGAGAATTCCAGTTACTCAGGAGGCTGAGGCAGGAGGATCACAAGCTCAAGGCCAGACTGGGCAATTTACAGAGACTCTGTCTCAAAATTAAAATTATTTATATATATATACACACACACACACACACACATACATACATACGTATACACATACATACATATACACACACACACACACACACACACACACACAAATGACTAGGAATATAGTTCCACAGCAAAATGCCTGACTAGAATGTGCAGAACCCTAGGTTCAATTGCCAGTCCTGAAAAAAAAAATGATACAAAGAAGACAAAAGCTACATCTTCATAGGAAAACACAAACATGTTGAAAACAGCAATAGTTAGGGGAAAAAAGAAAATGAAAAATTAAGTTAAAGTACTCACTTGAAAAGCTTAATATAGCAAATGAACAGAGCAAGTTAAAACAGAATWGAAAGAATATATTAACTATTTAATATGAATTCTTCCAATAAAGCCTATTGAGGCAATTGAGAGAATATCAAAATATTAATGCAATGTTCTTACCAAAAACAACAACAACAACAACAAAACAAAAAAACCAGACTAATCCTTTGTCAGCAGGAAGAATAAATGTCCTGCCAACTGGGGGTGCTTATTTCCTAAGAAACTCAAAGCAATTTGTATTCTGTTATGGTCTTCAATTGACATCAAAAGAACCACACTGAATCTGAATTTCAAGGCTAAAGGGAACACAGAGGTCACAGAGTACAATACCTTTTTCTTTCCAATATTTGGATTGGATTGGATTACACTGTATAAATATATTCAGCGCTTAGTTACATTCAACTGATGGCTAGACAATGACTAAGGTCACCCTTAAACAATGCAGCCCACTAACTTAAAGTGCCAGAATCCTCACCTTGTTCCAAGAAGACTAAACTTAAATACTTGAAATATTTAAACCTTAGATGGAATATTTGCAGGTAAAATATCATTTCTATTTGTTGTTGATAAAAGAATGATGTAGAACTGCGCCTAGCTAGAATCTTCATGCACATTTTCATGCTTTTAAAAAATATGTTTGAAGAAATTCAGTTAAATCCAACATACTATCAGCATTTGTTTTTCCTGCAGAGGACAATAAATGGGCTGGAAATTGATATAAAGACAACAAAAGCTGCGTCTTCATAGGCAAACACAAACATACTGCCATAAGTTAATTCTGAGGAGTACATGTGCATTCATTTCTCTGTATTTAGTGCCAGTTGGAAATATTTACAAAATGTACATCATGTTAAATAAATAATACCATGTGTGAAATTCTGTGTATATTGATGAAACATACGTGTGCATGTATGTGTGTGTGAAATCTGGACTACTTCATAAAAAAAAATGCAATGTATTTCCACAATTCTTTATCCAAAGAGTTTGTGACCAGGTAGGTTTTGAGATTTGTATAGTTCAGAGCTAGATGTTGATATAACACTGGTAGTGTTTATTACATGATACTCTCGGGAAGATGGGGAACAACATTGTAATCAAACCCCTGATTAAATAAACTGCCCAAAGACCTCACATTGATTTAGGTCAGGTTAGGTTTTGCCTCACAATTTGTTTTTCAAAAACTTATAGCTTTCCAAATTTAATTGTCTAAATTCCCAACTAGAGATTGTAGACCTACAAGGGTAAAATTTGATGGTGAAATTTGAGGGAAATCTTTCTTACATACATATTTTTACTTGTTTGTAGTTTCTAAAACAAACATGTGCTGTAGAGAGTCACTTCCTAACAAGATTAAAGGAGGAGGAGGGCAGGCACAGAAGAAAACTCTACCTTCTCTGAAGTTAATTAAACATGTGTGAGGCCCAGCTTGAACTCAGCATCAAAGCAGATTAGAGAGAAAAACCAACACAAACACCAACACACACGTGGTGTGGTGCTGAGTTATCAGGAGGGAACTCAGAGAGGAGCAGCAGTAAACAGTGCTGAGTCAGAAACCAAACAGCCATCCCATAACAGCAACCCACCAAACCACTGGCCATTTCACCTCCTGGTTAACACATCCTCCCATGATAAGGAATCACCTCMATATGCAAGGTAAAGCAAAACCCAAACTCAAACCCCAAACAAAGAAATATGAAAGAGAGAAAACTACTCTTCAATACTAATAATAATGGATCAATGAGAGCTTCCACAGGTGGAAAGAAATGGCACATAGTTCAATTCATCCAGTTTCCCAAATGACTAGTCCTGGCAAAGGACATTCTGTTTTCTTCTCAATGTGTTGAGCATAAAGTTTGATAGATCTTCTTGGTTTTATTCTAACTAAAAAGAACCGCAGTGAAAACCATTATATAGATAACACAAATATAGGAGGCAAGACGTCCAATTGTTCTGATTTTTCCAAACCTCCCCCATATTATGGAGATGGGTGTGGAGATGAGTAAGTGACCAGCCTTTGTATTCAGTGCTTCCCAATAAAAAGCTACCAAAGGTGGTTTTGTCCATTAAATGTGGGAATCAAATCATAAATTGATGTTTGAAGATCAGAGAAAATTTGTATAACTCCTTGGAGTGCAAAAGCCTCTGATGATTGAGTTTACTAGAATTTTGGCCAGCAGGAGATCTGTTTGTTTTCAAAATGAAGAAGAATATTAACATTAATTACCTACCTACTGTTCCCAGACAACATACTAGTAATTACCATAGCAACAACAATAGCTGACTTGTGTGAGCTCACTCCATGCCAGTCTCTTCTATACGCTTCTCACACAAAAAACYATTCAATCCTACAGAAATTCTATGAAGTAGAGACTGCTCATATGAGCTGATGCTTATTTCATATTCCTCTGATTCCATGGGGAAGAAGTTCCCTGCAGTCACACTGCTATTACTTCTTAGTCTTTCCCAGGGGAGGATCCAGATGTATGTGACTGCTGATGTTTGAAGAACACACTGGGCATGCTCCACTCATCCTCCTCTTCCTTTCAACATCCCCCTTTGGGAGGCAGCCTCTACTCCTCCCTGCTAATGATAAAACTAGAGGGAGAGTCCTATGTTTCTCTAGCAGAGTCTTACTCTCTGGGTAAATCTATTTATTGTCTTGTCAGGGATTATTTTATATATGCGGCTGCTCCAAAATATTTTGTTCTCGGCTTGACTTCTACATGTATCTTAATTAGTTCAGAAATGAGGACCATATCAGGGACTCTAAAACCCCAACACTCGTGCTCTTAGCCTACAGTGATAAAAAGACAAAGCATTTAAGAAATTTCCCAGTGATCCTACACTGGGGCTTGAATCCAAGTCTCTAAAGTGTATGTGCCATAGATCACATCTTACCTACACTCTCTTTACTACTCAGACTCTCCTGAAGTGTTGCTGTTATCACTGTGATTCTCAGAGATTAAGAAATAGAGGGCTTGAAGATAATATTTGAACATAGGCTAAAAAATTGGAGCAAAGACTGGCACCTGGATCCCCTCACTCCAAAGGTAGGGTGTTTTCCAGTATGTTCTATCATCTGAGCTACATTCTAAAACTGCTCTTTTCAAATATCACCTGAAAGTGATTCATGTCCAGGAGGGCAAAAAATGGAGCATCCGTTTATGAAGTTACACTTGCCTTCTTTGATTATCAACCAAGACAATACCATCAGAGATGGAAAAAAATCCTCAATGTTAATGGACAGGAGAAAATGAGGTAATAAGATTAAAATGGAAGTACAGCTCAAGTCAGATATTATTTTCCCACTATTTCCTATAATTCACCATCTCCACTTAGGAAAAAAAATCCTTTTAAATTGCTCTTTTCTCTGACACCCTATTTAATGCTTATCTCCATTTTTATTACTGTTCCACACATACGTCTTGAACTCTTAAATCAAAAATAGCCTCTATTCATCCCTGATCATGAATGAACTTGCTTTATTAATAGTCAATAAACTCATGGTAAATGKATGTTATCCTATTGTCTGACTGATTAATGTAACTGATTTAGCTGAGCTGTATTAATTTTTTAAGTGCTTACCTGAAAAGGCAGTCTAGATTCACCAGCTTTTGCACAGAGATCAATTTTTGCTTGACTCCACTGAGATTCAGAGAATCCAACCATTTCACCTTGCTTTTGCAAATCTCCATCCAGGGATGTTCTTGTAAAGACTGAGAGAGATGAATGCTCAGATAAATGATACCAAAACCGTACCTGTTGAAAAATGTTTAGGATGATATAAATATTCCATTTACCTAGCTCTTATAGTTTTCCTATAATTTAAAACAGCCCAAAATKTAATTTTTTCAGTTCTACCTTCCTCCGAGTGTGCAACCCCAGAAAATGTTACTGTTTGTATTTCTCCCTTAAGAATCAAGGCATCCACACTACTATTTTTAACACATTCTGGAAAGGAGTCTATATACCTGCATACTACCAGCACTGGTTTGCAGACATACTTGTAAATGCATGTCCACACAGTCACAGGTAGCACCGCTTTGCTTCCAATGAAGTTTCCCAGGATGCTTCTCTCTTGCCTCTTATAAATTTGGTAATAATGCAAGTTTATTTTAAAATGTTACAAAATCAGGTGTCACCATACATTYTTTTTGCTGTTTGAAACAACAAGAAAAAGTTTCCTTGGAAAATTGCTTCCTAAAGTAATCAATGATGAACGGCTTACTTTCTGCTTAAAACATCAGTCTTTAAGTTTATTTTTTAAAACATCATGTAATTATATGCAGTCATTAAAAATGAAAAATTATATTGCTGAAATGGGATGATCTCCACAATAATATTCTTCCATGAAAAAAAATTAATAGATATAGTATAAAAATATATACTTAGAGCTGGGAATGCGGGGTTGGGGCTCAGTGGTAGAACACATATTTGTCCTAGGTTTGATCCCCAGAAAAGAAAGAATGAGAAAGAAACAAAGAAAGAAAGATGGATGGGAGAAAAAGRTAATATCTACTTAACTATATATCAAAATGTAAACAGTATTATCTCTAGACCATAAAAATAGTGTTTTTCAACTTTGTCCTTTAATGTTTCATATTATCAGATTTTAAACCAAAATCATGTTTCACCTTAAAATCAGAAAACAGAAATAAACAGGTGTTTAGTATAAAATGTTTTCCTACATTTTAGAGAATTTCAGGATAACACAATATTTAACATAATATTCTAAAACTTGTTTTATAGGTCTACTTAAGTAACTATGTAACATTAAAAAAAAATCTTCCTAAGCAATTGTACTAATTACTTTTCGTGAATTTCTTCTCTGTTGCGATACCATCRAGCAACTTGGGAGTTCACAGGATACTGTTTGTCAATATTCAATCCAAGTAAAAAAGACTTCTTTGTGAAGCCAACAAGCCTTGATCATTTCACTTCTCCTCACCATCCATGATGGCATCATCTAGAGGTTTGATGGCTGAACCACATTCAGAAAGTAGAGAGGATCATGTCTGTTGCTGACAATAGCTTTAATACAGCATTTAGCGCTCATTTATTCCACCAATATTCACTGACCACTTGCTTAGTGCCTGGTAATGTGTCAGGCAAAAATGAATTGCCTTGCTAGGTACAGTGGCGTACACCTGTAAACCCAGAGGCTTGGGAGGCTGAGACAGGAGGACCATGGGTTCAAAGACAGCCTCAGCAAAAAGTGAGGTGCTAAACAACTCAGTGTAGACCCTGTCTCTAAATAAAATTTAAAAAATAGACCTGGGGATGTGGCTCAAGTGTCAAGTGTCGCTGTCAAGTGTCTAGTGGTCAAGTGTTCCCGAGTTCAATCCCTGGTACCCCTCACCAAAAAAAAAAAAAAAATGAATTGCCTCAATTTCAACTGGATTTTGGATGATTCATTCTAAAGTGTGTCAACAAGACTGCCACGAAACCAAGTTCAGATACATTGCATCGATTTATTCTTCTTTGTATTGTCACATAGAGTCCAAAGGCTGTTATTTCAATGAAAATCGAAATTCAAAGACAAAGCTTCTTAGAAACAGAGTCCTTATCATTGACTTCAAAGTGATTCTTTTTCAGTTTCGTTATATTTTAAATTCTTTTTTTTCCCTTTGTTGTAGGCTCTTATGGACAGATACTACTGTACTAGACAACCCAATTTCACTGTTAGGATCCATTTCTGTGATGAAACTTGACAAATTGTTTCAAAATGTTGTTGTTGTGGTTTTCAGTTCAAAATGAAGCATTCTATGCTCCAAGGATTTTTTTTCAATGTCTACTTAATTGCCAGCACTGAGTCAAAAATTCCTTCTGATTATCTGTGTCATTTTAGAATGTATTACCATGMTCACCTAAATTCAGATCTTGACAGGTAAATTATAAATGTAAAGTCAAATGGAAGTGTTTAATTAAATACCATGGAAAAAGAGGATGCATGTTCCCCAAATGCAATTAAATTGTAGATCTGTGCTGTAAGTTTCACATGTTTCCAGCTTGTAAATATGCAAAACAGAACTTCCAACATAGTTGTACAAGAGATGTGCAGGCCCCGTCAGAATTTCAAGCTGTCAAACTGTCACTCAGTACCTCACCAGTGTGAAGTTATGTTAATATTGTACTAAGTGTAAATGCCAATGGGATCCACGTTCAACAGAAGAAGAGCTTAGAACTTATATTTAATTTACTCTTTTAACAGATTTGCATCATAGAGAGTTAACTTCTTTAGCTTATTAGAGACCAAGAAATCTCCCATAATCTTTTCAAATTTAATAGTGTTAAAGATGAAATCATTGAACAAAAGTTATTATCGCTGTGATTTCACCTACTTATTCATGAAACGTGCAAACTCTGTTAATCTCAGTCCAATTCATACTCATAGTAGTGAAGCAGCCAGAGACACCCCCCCCCAAAAAAAAGACCCTCACTATATTTGTAGCATATAAGTTCCTCTTCTTGTCAGGAAGCTATTTACATACCGTATCAGCAAAACTTCTGCAGAGGGCTTTGTGGTTTGCAGTTTCTTTTCTTCTTTTTTTTTTTTTTTTGGTAAATGACAGCTTTGAAAAAACAAAATACTTTTCAAACCTCTTTCTAGTCTTTAAAAACTGGAACAAAAAGCACTGGTCATGTAAACCTTCAAACCCCTCCTCCCAGTGGGTATAAAGTTCAAAGAGTTTCTAKATTTGAGGTCCAGAGAATGTTTAGGAGACATCCCCTCTGGATCCTGCAGCCAAAAATCCTGCTTCCTGAAAATCCCTCTGGTGTCCAACAACTTCTGTCCTACATYGTTAAGACTCTAAATAATCTACTTAAAACCATGGTCATCTTTCAAATATCTTACAAAACCTATTAAAGGAATTTATATTTACTAGGTATTCCATTAATATCTTTTTAAGAAGTAAGAAGAAAGAAATAAGTGGGCTTTTAGTATTGGTTCTTAAGTAAATATCTACAGAGAAGAAATCTGCTCAATGTCAGAGAACGCATAGAGCATCAGGTGTCCTTAGCAAACTTGGAGTCTTTTGGAGGAAAGAATAAACAAAAGAAAAGGAGTTCAGTGGGTTAGACAAAGGGAATAGGAATAGAAAGACAGTGGAATGAATCTGACATAACTTTCCTATGTACATATATGAATACACCACAGTGAATCTCAACATTGTGTACATCCACAAGACTGGATCCTAATTAGGATAAGATACTGTCCATGCTCGTACAAATATATCAAAAGAGATTCTAGTGTCATGTACAACTTAAAAGAATAAAAAATAAGTAAAAATCATAAGCAACTAAAAAAGAAAAGGGACACTTAWATAGAATAAGTATAATGAGAAAGCTATGAAGATAGTAGAACTATTTAAATGTAAATCAATTTAAATTATACAAAATGAAAATTCAGTTTCTCAGTTATATTAATCACATTTTAAGTGCTCAGTAACTATAGGGAGTGGCTATTGACTGCCACATGGAACATAACAGAGGAAGTTTCCCATCATCACAGAACATGGTATTAAACAGAACTATATAGCATGTAAGTTAAAACCAAGCCAACTATTCAGAATGGATTTATTGCTTACCATTTAGAAATGAAAGTTTTTCAGATTCATCAAAAAGCCACATCAATGTTTATAGTAGCTCAATTCACAATAGCCAAACTAGGGAAGCAATCTAGATGCCCTTCAGAAGATGAATGGATAAAAAAAAAAATGTGGTATATACACAGAGTGGAATATTACTTAGCCATAAAGAATAATGAAATTATGGCATTTTCAAGTAAATGGATGGAGCAGAAGAATATCATGCTAAGTGAAATAAGCCAATTCCAAAAAACCAAAGGCCAAAAGTTTTCTCTGATATGTGAATGCTAATTCACAGTAAGGAGGGTGTGCTAGGCTAGAGAAGGATAGAGGAACTTTGGATTAGGCAAAGGTAAGGTGAGGGGTACAAGGGTAGGAAGAAWAATAGAATGAATCAKACATTATTACCCTATGTATGTGTGTGTGACCAGTGTGATTTTACATCATGTACAACCAGAAGAATGAAAAGTTATACTCCATTTACGTATGATGCGCCAAAATGCTTTCTACTATCCTGTGTAACTAATTAGAACAAGTTTTAAAAGGTAGTTAAATAAAATGTTAATGAAAAATATCCAATTTTATCTTAGGTTTTMACTGAAGTTCAAACATTTTATTTGCATGTGACTATTCAAGACCCTGAATCACTGCCTTCAAGAGACTGGCATGTGGTCAAAGACTCCCAACAAAGAAGGTTCTTAAGTTACCAATGTGATTCTGCAATCTGTAATGTTTTGAATAACCAATAAAAAAATAATAATAAAAAGTTACCAATTAGAAAAACTGAAGCTCAAATTATTTTCATCTCTTTAATTGCATTCTGATTTTATTTGTACACAGAAAGAAAAGTCAAAAATCAAGCAAGCAAGCCAGAAAGAAAAAAATTCATTGTACTCCAGAAGGAGGGGCCATGGGCACAGGTGACTTTACCAGCCACTGAACAGGGTAGTTGCACTGGACTGTGCTATTCTCATCAAGACCATTCTTTGGTCTGAGGACTAGCCCCTCCCACAAAAGCAGCTCTGAGGCYGTTTCCTATTTGCTTCTGTGAAAGATGCCTCAGGATAATATTCAGAAGTTTAAAAAGATTTTTTTTCTTATTTCTCTACTTTCTTTTTCATTCCATTTTGATCTTCCTCCCATCAAAACTCGTCTCCTCACATCTAATGCCTTTTGCTCATTTTTTCTATGACCTTTGTCCAGTGGCCTCCCCATCTCAGAGCCCCACGGTCACATCGTCATGTCYTCTCTCCATTGTATTCCAAACCCTCAGCAACAGCACCATCCCTGGTTCACACTGGACTTGTGTCTTGCTTGGTCTGGTTTTTTGCTAGACCTGATCTATCTTTTCATGAATTTTAACAGTTAAGAGGTCTAAAATCACAAGAAGAAGAATAAAAAGTTCAAAGAAAACAAAGATTCCYGCTGCTCCTAAAAATTCATCTGGAAATAAGATCATGTTGGAAGGTGGATCAGCATCTCTCAGGAACCTCGGTCTTGGGAGGGCATTTGTGTGTCTAGGTTGTCACTGTAAGCCTGGCATTGAAGAYGGGGAGAGCACAGAATAGCTAAGGAAGTAACACAGGATGAAMCAGAGGTAGAGATTACATTACTGTCATTCTGAGCATTCAAGAGAAGAATCTTGGAAGAATTATTTTTGGTTTGGGGTTTTTCTTTTAACTTCCTTGAATCTGAACCACTTGAGAATCTCCTTGCATTGGCTACTGGAAAACCTACACTCTCATGTGTATCCTGGTCCCAGTAAACTTTACTCTGAGAAYCAACCTACCTCTTGTATCATTTATCTTTGTTCTGATTTCCTAATACACATTTTTTTAAATTTATAACTTTTTTTATTTGATGTATTAAAATACATTCAAAACAAGTTGAAGAATTAAAAACAAAGGGAAAACAGTAAGYTTATAAACTAACTTTGTAAGCAAAAGCTTCCTATGGTCCATCTTCTTGTATCTAATTACAAAGTCCTGAAAGTAAAATATTATATTTTAGTATAGCGATATAAATATGAAGATTAAAAGAACAGTATTATCTACATTCATCCCCCATCTTACTTATATTTTCTAGTCAACTGTAAACAATAACTGTACTTCAACATCAATAAGAAATAGTAGCTTCTGGTTCCCACATATTTTCTTTATCCTATTTCCTATTTCAGTGAAAAAAAAAATCCAAGTTTCCACCAGTGGCCAAAGTGACTTTTGAAGCTGTTAAATTATAGTCCACATCTCGAACAGTGATTAGTTTCAGGAAAAATTGTGCATGTTGATGCCATGTGTTGCCATGTGTTGGCTCTATACCAACTATGAGGTAATTCATRCAAAATGACCCTAAAATTGTGTTGCTAGGAAAGGTAGCTCAGAAGAAAACTCATATTCTTTTAAAGTCCTTTCAAAAAGTATCCCTAACTGTATGAGTCGGATATGATTGCATAGGAGAAAAATCATATAATTTCATAAAATGAAGGCTTTAATCACATCAAAGGGCCTAACTCAGGTTATCTCACTGCTTTATTATTTTATAATGAAGAACATTTGTTCCATGAAAACAACCATTATCAAGAGGTTCCAAATTAGAGGCTCTGCTGCATTCACCAATTACCCTAAAAGGTAAAAATTTGGTTTCCTTATTCTGTAACTTTTATGAAAAGAAAGTGCCACATATCACCACGAACTTATAAAAAAGATCATGATGACAGTCCTTTGAGGCAAAATTAGCTTTGTGTATCTCTAACTATAAGTAGCTTCCCCTAACCAGTGCACTACTACTTCCCAAGTTGGAAAGTCATCCAAGTATGCCTTCACTTTACAGATTACTAAAATTCAAGCAGATACTGACAAAAGCGATAAACAAATACTTCTATGGAGGTCTGTGGTAGCTCCTTGATATGTTCTCAGTCTTCAAAAATAAGGTAAACCATTCAGCCAGGATCCAAAGCCTTTGGAGATTCAAGTATTGGTGCTAAGGTAAACTATTAAGCATCTAAACTGTCCAGAACATTTTCACTGAGCCCCCATGTAAATAGATTCCACACCAAGGCCACACATTTGAGCAAAAATAAAGCAAAGTGTCCTCAAGAGGAAAGGATGAAAAATTGAAACTCCATCCCAAAGATAACAAATTAGTGACTATCAGCAAGCATACAGAGATGGGAAATGTAGATCATCTTCAAAAACAAAGAAAAAAATTATTATATATATATTTTTTTCAGTGATGCTCAATGTTTGTTTCCTAATATAACTAAAGCAGACAGAATTAACACATTTTATTCTCTTGCATTCAATGTGTTTTATACATATAACTCAGTGGATGACCTTGAAGTTAAGTTAGCTTGTAAAGTACTTTTTAAAGTGCTAAGTGCTTCTGGGGTTCTTTTTAAAAAAATCTATAGCTTTCTATTACACACGATTTAAWTAAAATAAAGTTGGGAACAGGTAAAGGGTATTTGGATGATGTGAAAATGGGAACAGACAGTTGTTTTATTTCTTATTCCCACAAAGAAATGGAGAGAAAGACAAAGAAAAAAAAAAGAAAGAAAAGAACAACCTATTAAGAGCTCTGGGCACTTCTGTTCAGACTTATACCAAGCTGAACATATAATTAGGTTTATAACTCTCAATGATGTGTAATTTATCATCAGGAATGTCTGAGTCAATGCTGTAACACTACATTTATACTCAATGAGTTCCATGTACTGAAGTATTGATCTCTTCATTATTTTCTGATAAGTAAAGACAAATAGATAAACTGAAACTCTAAAACTAAAAGCCATGTTAGAACTCTCAAAAGGTCTGAAAAGAAAGAAGGCTGAATAGAAACATCTGATTTTAGGTATAAAGTTTGTGAAAGTAAAGAAGTCATGTTCAGTGAATGCCTACTATGTGCCAAATACTTTACCGGTGACTTTGATCATATTTTAATCCTTACAACCATAAGAAGGAGATAGTCCCATGTTTTTGCTCCTAGTATAGAAAGTGGGCCTCAAAAAGGGTATACAACTTATATATCATAATTAGTAAGTAGAAAAACTGAGATGTGAATTCAGGCTGATTCTAAAGTCCTACTTTCTTCTGTATTGTGCTATTGAAATAAAATATTTTATTGCTTGGTTTGTGATTATCTGGCATGAGAGGACTAACTGAAAAATAAAATTTCAGTCAATGCAATTATCTTTTCTGAGCACATTTATATTTTTGCATTGTTTCACATTATTTTCCACATTCACTTATTTAACTGATTTTATGTACTTGGTTCATATTGTTGGGCAAAATAGCAAGTAATCTTGGCAATGTGTAAATCCATTGCTTTAGATTCCAGAAAGAACCATGTGAAAATAATATAAAAATGACCAAAAACTTCTTTAAATAACCCACCACCTCCCATCAAATGGTGCAGGATTATATGCTGCAAATGGTCTTCTGGAAGGGCATAGCATTTTGTGCTGAAATAGYTTATATAATTTTTCTCAATTCATCAGGAAAAAGATATTAAAACATGGCCGGCATTTACTAGCAGAGTAACTCAAACCCACTGGTTTACAACCACAGAATGGCCAATGGAAACTCAGAAGAACTGATTACCTGGCATGGAGTAGAGGCAGTGAGCAATTTTGTGAGGATGGGACTTCCAAGCTTGGCCACCCCAGGGGATYGATGTGCCCTCAAATAAATAAATGATCCTGAAAAAACAAATGTAGTCATATGGATATAAGTTCTTTTGTACAAGTAAAACTTCTTTGCTCAAGTTTCTTATCCCTGTACATATTCAACTGTCAGCCAGACAAAGAGAATTACACTTTTACTTATTTACCCTTTAGCTCTGTGGATAGCTGAAAGCATTTTCATATGTGCAACATTAAATATCTAAAATAAAATTCGATTGATTAAAAAGAAGCTCTTGATCCAAATCAGCTAAACAAACATTTTTCTTGCTTTAACTCACATCATAAGAGTTTGAAGTCAAATTAAGTGGAGCTTCTAAGCTTGCAATTAGATATTCAACATGCCCTTATAAAATTCCCACAAGAGTCTTATTTTTAAGTTTCTTCACAGAGTACTGAAGGATCTGAGCCTATGGAATGAGTTTGGTTTCTCCTGGGGCTTACATATTTGACATTGTTGTCTGCGCTGGAGGGGATGAAAGCTTAATTAAAGATCTAATCTGAACGTTAACAAAATAACTGCTTTTAGATTTTAACTACAGAGGATGTGCTCATGGCAAATGTACAGGAGGATAACATCTCTTAGCAGCTCAAAAGATCACACATCCTGAGCTGTTGTCAGGGGTAGCTTCATTGAATATTGAAACCTTACAAGGAAGACTATGCCAAACAACGTCAAGGTCTGATCTTGCCCTTTGATAATCGCAAAGTGATGGGCAACTTGGAAAGCCCAGTACTTTGAGAAAATATCACATTCAGACAGTGATTTTCTTAAACACAGGTCAGTGCTGACTAAACAAAAAGGAAGGATTTCAGAATTAAAATGCACTATTTTATAGATCCCTTCACACATTTAACCAAACAACCAACTGTAAAAGTATTCACATCTGCCTTGACCTCACTTTTGCAAAGCATATACCCTTTTTAATGCAATGGCTATAACACAAGTTTGGAGAAAGTTAGAAATGAGTATTTTTAGYACATATAATGCAAAAATAAGAAACAAGCATTACCCTGCAACATAAAGAAATAAATTAAAAGCAACCCGATGAAGTTTTGCTCAGGAATGGCAAGAATAGTTTAATATTTGGAAAATCAATTTTCATTGCAAAAATGTCAGTCTGATGACCATGTGATCACCACAATAGAAGCTGAAAAAAACACTTGAAAATTTCAACATACAGTCTTTAGATGTTTCAAATGTAGCACACCATGAGTGAGGGAAACATCCTTATCTGATAGAAACAACAAGTTTTCAGCAAACATGGCACTTAAGGTTGAACTATTGACAGCTTTTCCCCTGAGACAGGAACAAGACAAGTCTAGCAGCCACCACCAGTTCTTTTCAGCAATTTCCCAGAGGCCTTATCCATAAAAGGACAGAAAACAGAAAAGAGAAAAAATATATATACAAATACACACACACATACATGGTTTAAGATGTACAAATAAAATAAAATTGTCTTTGTTAGTAGATAAAACAGTAAACCTGGAAAATAAAAAAAAAATACACTCTGCGCTATAACAAACTTATCAAGGTCATTGGATATACAAGGTCAGTATTTTAAAAAATAATCAAATTTGCTATATATCAACAACTTACACATTTTTTAAAAGGGACATTTTTAATAGCTGCAAAAAGTAGAAAAACAGCAAAAGATTTTCAAAACTTCTACACTAAAAGCTACAAAATATTACTAGAGATCTCAAGTAACTGAAAACCTGGAAACCTTAAAAAGATTCTTTTTCAGTRAAATATAAATAATGGTTACATGTGAGAAATCATTTTATAACCATAAACTCGAAAATTTTAGGAGAATTAAAATGTTTCTTACTGATAGAAAAACAGGGAAGAGTGCTCTTATTTTGCTGCTAGAAATGGAAGTTTTAAAATTTGGGGAGGGGCTGTGGATATAGCCTAGTTGGTAGAGTGCTTGCCTCATATACAAAAGGCCCTGGATTCAATCCCCAGCACCACAAAAACATTGTGGAAAATTTAATATTTATTATTTACTATTAAATATTAAAATATGTTTTATGGTTTTAAATATTAAAATATTTATGGAAATATAAAACTTGGGGGTAAGTCAATGTTTGTTAAGAGTATACATACATATCTTGCTGTAAAAACACAGAGCCTCATTCCTAGTTACCTACTGCATAAAATTAAAATTGTTCAAAATAGGGATATAGGTACAAGAACAAATTTTGCAGCATTGTCACGATGTCACTGGATGGGAGAATAGCTACATTCATTATGGCATATGCAGATTAAAGAAAGCAAGCAAACAACATGAATTACACCGCTTCTACTTCCAGAAAAGACTAAGTATCATGAACCAGATTGAACCTCTGAGTTCAATTAGGAAAAAAAAAGTTCAGAAACATATAAATAATGATTTTCAAGCATAGATTAATAGAGACCATGGAACAGTGATCTCAAAGAAAGGGAAACAAGTGTGCCAAGGCATATAGTTGCAAATAGTTTCCCAGCTCATTGCCTAGATGAGCTGCTTCCAGGGAAGCTCATGATATGAAGGGAGGGGGACACAAGACAAGTGTGTGGTCTCTCTGAGTTGAAAAGATAAGGTTGGTGCAGTGGGGAGACCCTAGTAGCTGGACTTCTTAACAGAGTGCTGTTGCCCCTTTCAGGTTCCAGAACTCTCTCATTTCACAGCTGCAAACAGAGCAAGCTCCAGTATCTGCAGAAATCCCCCCAATCAACACCTGAATATTGACCAGTGCTTGGACAAGAGAAAACTACCTGAGGCTGAGGGGAAAACTACATTTGAAAGAGGCAGGTGGAACGTTAACAAAGCATCACTAAGGGCCAGAAACAGTAGGATTCCCACACCAACTAGAGTGAAAAAATTATGCATGGGTATTGGATAGAGTGCTCAAGCCAAATAAATCGGTATATCCAGACAAAAACACATATGTGAAATCTATAGTGTTTTTACTCATCTTCATCTACACTTGGAACAATTCAAATGCCCTTCCACTGGGAAGTGGATAAATAAACTCTGGTTCATCCACACAACAGTGATTCTACTCAAAGGTAGAAAGGAAGAAATAATCACTGTAATCAACAATGGTTGATGACAAACTCAAGTCAATTATACTAACTGAAAGAAGCCAGATTCAGGAAACTATGTATCATATGGTCCATTTACATGCCCTTCAGGAACAAGCACTCCATCAGGGATAGAAATCTCATCAGCCAGTGTCAGTGGCTGGGTGTGGAGAGGTGTTGACCACAAAGCGACAAAATCTGATGGGATGAAACTGTGTTGATTTTTATGATGGATACACAATTGTCTATATTTGTTAACACTCAGTGAACTGTACACTAAAAAGGTTGAATTTCACTATGTTGAATTATTCTTTAACATATAAATGAAAAAAAGATAATACTTGATGATTTGGAGGAGTCATATTTAGAAACAAGATTTAGGGACACTATAATACTCTTTTGTAAAGCAATCACAAAAATACTTGTGATTTCAAACATGTACATATATACTGAGAATAAATCTGTGTATAATTACATCAGCATACATAGAAGTAAGAGAGAATTACATGAGTTGCCTATTTGGATGTTTAACAAGGTAGCCAGAAATGGAAAAAAATAAAACCCAAGCAAAGAGGAAAGAAGAATGAAGACTTCATAAAAACTACAACAATAAAACCACACTCAGACACATCAACCCATTCAGCTTTTGKGTAAGATTTACATTGAAGGTGTATGAAAGATAGAAAATACTAAAGATTAGTTTTAAATGCTGTAATCTATCTATAAACTCAAAGCTCCAAGAATCAAATAGATGAGAGTTCCATTTCTTAGATGTGAGAACTATCAAACTCTACTGAATTCCCCTGAAAATTTCCATTTCACTTCTTCCTTTCTCATTGTGGACCWAGTTTGTTTTCTTTCTCATCTGGGATTTAAAACTACAACTGATTATTGATTTTCTTCAGGTTTAATAATGACAATCTTGGGTAAAGAGGTGATGAGGCTGATTCAGATTACCTATATATAATATACATTATGTGTGTGTATGTATAACACACACACAAATAATAGATGTATATACTCAGACATGGTGGCACCCATCTATAATCCTAGTGCCCCAGKCAAGCTAAGACAGAAGGATTCCAAGTTCAAAGCCAGCCTCAGCAACTTAGTGAGATCCTAAACATCTCAGAAGGACCCTGTCTCAAAATAAAATAAATAAAAATAAAAAGGGACTAGGGGTGTAGATCAATGGTTAAGAGCCCTGGGGGTTAATCACCTAATCACTAGTAAAAAAAAAACCAAACAGATTTTATATATATAATTTTTTTGCTAGGCCCTTTCTAAAATGAGAAAGACTGCAATTTGTCCTTCTTACAATAAATGATAACAGCTCCTCCCAATTTTATCAATTACATTAACTTTAAATATTATTTGAATCACAGGAAAAGATAARTAGGCTTTTCAATATTTAATACAGGGGCCACATTAAATCTTTCTTAACACAATTCATAAATAATACGGTGGCAAGCGTCTGAAGGTGAATTATGTTTTCAAATTGTCATACTTAGTGGGATTCCTAGCATTCCTACTGAAATGTACAAAATCTATTCATTTTATTGCACTTTTATTATGTGAAAAAAATCTTAAAAAGTAAGATTTCCTCTAATTCTCATAATTCTACATGGAAGTATTTTTATTTTTCTTCATTTTTCTAGCTAACAAAAGTGAAGCCCTTAGTGCAGTATTGAGGCCATGACTTAACCCCGCGCAGCCTATGCTCTTCACCACCCTGTAAGGATAAAGGTCCCAACCAACCATGGTGATATAGATTCCCAACTTCCTTTTGGGAATTGCTGCCTCTGCTCAGGCCTTCATTATCTCACTGATAGTTCTTCACCACATCCATGTCTCTCCTACCCTCTCTTTTTTGTTCTTCTCTGTTCTGAGAATAAATGTGATTAGTTACATGCTTTAATCCGAGGAATCAGGTCTCTGTTATTCTGCAGGTGAAGTTTCAATTCTTAGGTACTCTTCCGTTTCATGATTTCTATACTCCATGTCCAATCATATACATCTCTGAACCAAAAGTGCTTACTTCTCTCCCGACCACTTTCAGTGTATTTCCTCTAATTAGACCATGTTCCCTGCCATCTCCTCTTAATTCCTTTCATCTGCCTTCCTGGCTGCTTTACATTTCCCATCAGTGCTCAGTTCAGGACTCATCTCCCTCAGTAAGCATCTCAAATCCATGTGAATCCCTCTCCAAGCCCTGAAAAGCATTTATCATACCCTAGGGTAAGTTCTTACTCATCTGCTTCAACTACCATGGCTTCCACACTCAGGTCTAGTCTGCTGTGTATTCAATGAGGGATTTGAACAAAGAACAAAACATATGAGCTAATGTGCCATAGAATTCCAATTATTGATATTCCCCTTTCTCTTAAACTTTTAGCTTAAATCATTCTGCCACAAAATCTTATAGAAAAAATAATGAGACTGGCACAAGGARCAACAATTAATAATATGCTATTAAACAATAAACTGTGTTTATAGTTGTAACCAATGGATGATTGATTTCCCTCCCTATTTTTTTCCCAACAATCCACAACCCAATATCCAATGACTTTAATTAAAATAGGGCCAAAAATTATTTTTTGGCTTATTTATTTSAAAGTTTCAAAAGAGAAACAAGTGTGATAATGCTCACTGAGCTTGCAGGAGAATCTATGGTACAGTTCTGTGATTATAAAGTTAATATGACACTACAATATATAAGCAATAGTATCTGATGCCATATAAAAGTAAACAAAGGGAAAAAAGAAAAAAAGTCCATTTTCTTTCTTTTTTTGGAGTTTCACAAACCACTTTTGGAATGCTATATGTAGTTATAGCTCCTTCAATTTCCAGAGGAAATGTAAAAATTATAATGTTGGTTCAAAATATATATGAGGGAGAAGTTCAATTGTTTTTTATAAAGAAGTCTCAAGTATGATTAAATTGCATTCAAATATTTTCAGATTTATTTTATAGATAGTGCTAAATCTCTGCTCTCTGTTCCCAGAGAGAAGATTAGACTATTTTTCTTTTCTGTTTTGCAAAAAAAAAAAAAATGGATTGCTCATAAAAAGGAAAGCAAGTCTACTGAACAAGATTTCTGAGAAAAAGAGGGAATTATCAGAAAAACTTTTCTCCCTTWTTAAACCTTCAATCCAACCTGTTAAGAAAATAAAACAAAACAAAACAAAAATGTTCGTTACTGAAATGAACCACAATATTAAGTTGGGCAGGAGGCCTCAAGACAAGACAAACCAGAGTCACGTTTATATAGTTCATAGAGAGAAATGAAAATACACAATATCATTATTCTGCAACATGAAAGAACAAAAATTAATTTTCAAAAGAGAAAGATGTCCTACCATGATTTGTGTTTTCTATGTGATCGGCTTTTGGAAAATGGTGCTCTCCACTGCTCAATCCCTTCACCACCTCCCAGTGGGAATCTTCTGTGAGAAATGGCTCCCAGCCACAGAAACCAGACTCAAAGTTACAGGTGAGAYGATTCACTGTTAAGGATGGAAATCGAAACAGGTGAGCAGAAATGAAGTCAGGTCCTACAATGAAAGAAGGACTCTAACCTGTAAACTTAGGAGGGGGTATAATCATTCTACTTTGTAGTAAGTGTTTCTGATGATCAGAAAAGCTTTCCTTTTCCCMGTCTCCCACATTTCACATGTTCTGTGTGAAGCATGGCTCTTCTACATGCTTATGTCGACAGGTCTGGCACATTTCATCCTAATTGGCCGTGTCCATTATATTTAATGACGCCCGGTGAAACTCTAAAGRTTTTCAAGGAGTTACTAATTCACCTGCCAAGAATATATCTCCCGAGATGGTAGTTTTAAAAATCCATTTGAAAGAGGGGAATTAAAATTAATCCTGGACACCTGAAGAACTTGAGGTTGGTATCTCAGTTATTTTCTTCATTATTCCATTTCAACACGTTTTCCAAATTAAATGCCTTGCCATTTTGGAATTGCAGGTAAATTAGATATTCTGAACTTTGCTTTTCTTAATACATTACTAAAAAGTTGGCCAATACTTAAATCACTACATATATCATTAAAGAACTAGTTCTAGGGAAAGTCAGGGTTTAGGTAAGCTTCATAAACTTCTTTGCCAGCTTTAACACCAAATTTGTGAGGAAAACAGCAGGTTTCAGAGCACTTGGCAATAAACTAGAAATTCCTACAATTTGATGTTTCTGAGAAATTAGCTGTGATTGCTTAAATTTCCTTTCCATAGAATAAGAATCATAGAAATAGCCTATCTTAGATATTAGTTTGGGGGCTAAATTAATACTATTAATTTAAAAACTTATTTCTGAAATTTTCCTTTTATTACACMGAARTTGTAACAGTGGGGAAAGGAGAAGTAACATAATCATTTGTTAGAAAACAACATAGTTTTGACAAGCTTCCAAAAATCATATTGCCATCATCTTAAATAATAATAGATATTTGCCACTGAGCTTTAAACATGTGTTAGGAATTTTACATATATTAACTATCCATCTCACAAGCCACATGTATGAAAAATACTATTATCCCCAAAAGAGAAAAATGGAACTCAGAATCCTAAGCGACTGGCCTGTGGTATATTTCAGTAAATGGCACACSTAGACCTTGAACCTGAGAGCCTCTGACACCAAAACTTAAACTATGAAGCAACCCAGGCCTCCTAATTAAAAAGACTCATTACCATGTGCTTACTTCTGACCATTATTTTCAATCATGTGCCCCATTTGGTTGATGTATTGAATAAGCTCATCACATTTTAATACTCAAAGGATCTTTAAATCTCTGTAAACCAGAGTGCCTGGTTTCAGTCACCAGGTATATTTTGTCACTAACTTATCAACTATAGATCTATAGAGTCACAGAAATCAGAAACACAAACATAAGAACTAGTACGTTAGAGAAGCACCAACTGGGGCACCAGCATGGCTGCCTGGGGTGGTAGCAAAGGGAAGGGGCAGCACAAAGAAAGAATATGCGGTGGGGAGTACTTTGAAGAAGAACTAATCCCAGTCTTTCTCAAATTATTCCATGAAATGAACATTCCCAAGTATATCCTATGAAGCCAGTATAACCCTGATAACAAAATCAGACAAAGACATGTAGGAAAGAAAACTACAGACAAATCTTTCTAATGAACATAGATTCAAAATCCTTAATACAATATTAGCAAACCACATTCAAAAATATACTAAAAAGATAATATATCATGATCAAGTGAGGTTCATCTCAAAGATACAAGGTTGTTTAACATACATAAATCGATAAATGTATTTCACCACAGAAATAGAATTAAGAACAAGAATCACATGATCATCTTAGTAGAGGCAGAAAAGTCTTTGATAAAATAAAATAAACATTCATGTTAAAAACACTGGAGAAACTAGGGATGAAAGGTTAATAAAATAGGTACTTGTCACTCTGTTTCTCTATATGCTTAACAAAACACTGTTGAAATCTTAAGAACTGTTTGCTAATCTTGTTCCCAGAATGTGCTGTCCCCAACTATGGACTGTCTGCTAATCTTGTTCCCAGAATGAGCTGTCCCCAACTGCCAAACTACAAAATGTGACTTCTCTCCCTGCCCTCTCCAGGGAAAGTATATAAGCTCTGCTCAAGCTGTTCTCAGGGCTCTATCTCTCTTTGTTATAGAGAGAGCCCTAGCATGCTGGTCTCCAAATAAACCCACCCTTCTGCTTTTGCATAAGACAGTCTCTTGTGGTCTCTTACTCTGATGTTTTGCCGGACCCTTACAGGGATAGTAGAAATTTACCTCAAGATTGTAGAGGCTATATATGGCAAACCTGAAAGAACGAACAAGGCTCGTCATCAGAGAAAATGCCCGTTTATTGAGGAACAGCTCTGCATATTTATAGGGCCAGGGCCAGGGGTGGTCTGACAGTTGGCATGGGGTGCTTTTTGATTGGTGGGTAAGGATCATGTGAGCCAGCAGGGCTAGTCTGATTGGTGGGTAAGGATCATGTGAGCCAGCAGGGCTAGTCTGATTGGTGGGTAAGGATCATGTGAGCCAGCAGGGCTAGTCTGATTGGTGGGTAAGGATCATGTGAGCCAGTAGGGCTCACCATTGGATGGCTCTTCTTGGGGGATGGGGAAGTTCTTTGGAGCCGGGGGACTCCCAACAAAACCTAAAGTCAACATCATACTGAATGGAGAAAAACTAAAAACTTTTCCTCTAAAATCAGTAAAAAGTTAAGGATGTACACTCTTACTACTTCTATTCAATATAGTTCTCAAAACTCTAGCCAGAGTAATCAGGMAAGAGAAGGAAATTAAAGACATGTAGGAAAAGACAAATAGGAAAAGAAGAAGTCAAAGTATCACTATTTGCTGATGACCTGATACTATATCTAGAAGACCCAAACTATTTCACTAGAAGACTCCTAAAACTGAAAAATGAGTTTAGCAAAGTAGCAAGATATAAGATCAATATTCATAAATCAGTAACTTATCTGTGCTCCAACAGCAATTCAACTGAGAAAGAAATCCGGAAAACCATCCCTTTCCCAATATCCTAAAAATACATATATATATACACACACACATACATACATACCTGAGAATTAATCTAACCAAGGAAGTGAAATATCTCTACAATGAAAACTATTCAACACTGAAAAGGAAATTGAAGAAGACCTTCAAGGAGAGAAAGACATCCCACGTTCTTGGATAGGCAGAATATTGTCAAAATGGGCATACTACCAAAAATAATTTATAGATCCCATGCAATCCCCATCAAAATACCATTGACATTCTTCACAGAACTAGAAAATACGTCTGTAAAAATCATTGGAAGAATAAGAGACCCAGAATAGCCAAAGGAATTCTGAATAAGAAAATAATGCAGGAGGCATCATAATACCTGATCTCAACTTATACTGCAAAACTACGGTAGCAAAACCAGCATGGTGTTGGCATCAAAGTAGACATGAAGACCAGTGGAATAGAAGAGAACACACAGARACAAATCCACCTACTTACAGCCATCTGAAACTTGACACAGGTGCCAAAAATAACCTTTTAAACAAATGGTGCTGGGAATGTTGGGTATCTATATGTAGTAGAATGAAATTAGATCCCTATCTTTAACCCTACACAAAAGTCAAATCATATTGAATCAAAGACTTAGGATTTAGAGCGGAAACCTTGCAACTACTCGAAGAAAACATAGGGTCAACACTTCATCATGTAGGTATAGGCACTGACTTCCTCAACAAGACCCTTAATGCTCAAGAAAAAAAGAAAAAAATGAGAATCCGTAAGTGGAATGCTGTAAAATTGAAACACTTCTACACAGTAAAGGAAATGGTCAAGATAATGAAGACAGAGCCTATGGAATAGAAAAAAAATTCTCTGMTAGCTACTTTTAGCAATATATAAATAATACACATTATTTATATTAAAAAACTCAATGCCACAAAAAAATCAATAAATGTACAAAATAACTAAACAAAACAAAGCAGGGTGAAGATGCCTCAAAAAAAAAAAAAGAAAAGAAAAAAGAAAGAAAGAAAAGCCTAGGAATAGAATCACTATATGACCCACTTATCCCACTCCTTGGTATTTATCTGGAAGAACTAAAATCTGCATACTAAAGCAAAATAGCCACTACAATGTTTACAGAAGCACAATTCACAATGATCACATTATGAAATTAACCCAGATGCCTGTTAATAGATGAATGGATCAAGCAAATGTGGTATATATGCACAATGGAGTTTTATCCAGTCATAAAGAAGAATGAAATAATGGCATTTGCTAGTAAATGAATGGAAATGGAGAAAATCATGCTAAATGAAATAAGCCTCACTCAGAAAATCAAGGGTCAAATGTTTTCTCTCATATGTGGAAATAAAGCAAAATAAGGTAAAGAAGGCAGTGGGGAAGGGGATTGGATGTCATAAAGATACAGGGAAGATCTGTGGAGTAGGAGAATGAGAAGAAGGGAGTAAAGAAGAGAAAGGGAAAAAATATGAAATGAACCAAGGAGATTCATATTATATACATATACAAATGTACTAAAGGGAATATTTCCTTTATGCCTGTGTAGAAACTACCAATCAGAAATAAATACATAAAGGAGTGAAAGAAAGATCAGTAGAGGAGGGAGAAAGGKTGGGGGAGGAAATAGGGGAGGAAAAGGGAGAAGTAAGGCAGATTCAAATCAAATTCTTTGTATAATTTTGTAGAAAGGAACCCAAATACTATGTATAGCATTCTAATAGAAAACAACCCAAGAGCCACGGTTTGCCAGGAGCTATCAGAAGCTTACCAAGAGGCAAAGTAGGATCCTTCTCTAGAAATACTAAAGGGACCATGGCCTTGCCAACAGCATGATTTCTATCCCCCCAAATTAGAAAAAAAAATTAGGTTGCTTTAAGTCACCTAGATTGTGATGTTTCATTATGGCAGAAAGCAGTACAGAGAGCCCCAGTCCTATTTTCAAGAAGAGTTTCTTTGTAATCTGTTTT